CCCATTGGTACCCATTGAGTGCTGAGGTCCCCATTGGCACCCATTGGGTGCTGGGGTCCCCATTGGGTGCTGGGGTCCCCATTGGCACCCATTGGGTGCTGACCCCCATCTCTCGCCCTCCTGCAGGTCCCATCATGGATGTTCCAGCCCAATCCCATGAGTCAGAGGAGGGTGAGCGCCCCCCCCACCCCCCAGCACCCCCAAACTGGGGCTTGGGACCATCCTGAGCACCCCAGGGGGGATGGTCCTGGTGGTCCTGGTCCCTGGTGCTGGGACAGACCCGGGGGTGCCCCATTGATGGGGGTGCTCCATTGTTGGGGGTGCAGCATCATTGGGGATGCCCCATTGTTGGGGGTGCAGCATCATTGGGGTGCCCCATTGTTGGGATGCAGCATCATTGGGGATGCTCCATTGTTGGGGTGCAGCATCATTGGGGATGCTCCATTGTTGGGGGTGCAGCATCATTGGGGATGCCCCATTGTTGGGGTGCAGCATCATTGGGGTGCCCCATTGTTGGGGTGCAGCATCATTGGGGTGCTCCATTGTTGGGGTGCAGCATCATTGGGGTGCCCCATTAATCGGGTGCCCCATGAATTGGGGTGCCCCATTGTTGGGGTGCAGCATCATTGGGGTGCCCCATTAACCAGAGGTGCCCTATGAATTAGGGGTGCCCCATTACTTGGGGGTGCAGCATCATTGGGGTGCCCCATTAACCAGAGGTGCCCTATGAATTAGGGGTGCCCCATTGTTGGGGTGCAGCATCATTGGGGTGCCCCATTAACCAGAGGTGCCCTATGAATTAGGGGTGCCCCATTGTTGGGGGTGCAGCATCATTGGGGTGCCCCAATAGCCAGAGGTGCCCTATGAATTAGGGGTACCCCATTGTTGGGGTGCAGCATCATTGGGGTGCCCCATTAACCAGAGGTGCCCTATGAATTAGGGGTGCCCCATTACTTTGGGTGCCCCATAAGTGGGGGGGGGGGGGCACCCCCAGTTCTTGCCCCCAGCCCCAGCCCCTCTTTGCCCCCCAGGGCTGGAGCACGACCTGGACTCGGAGGAGGTGCTGACGTCCCAAGGTGATGGGGGGGGGCACGGATGGGGGTGACAAAGAGGGGGTGACAATGGGGGGGTGGCATTGGGGGTGATGGGGTGGGGGAGGGGGGGGGTGACACAATGGGGTGACAAGGGGGTGACATGGGGGGTGAGACAGAGGGTGAATGGGAGTGATGGGGTGGGGGTGACATTGGGGGGGTCCTGGGGGGGGGCGCGGATGGGGGTGACAAGATGGGGTGACACTGGGGGGGTGACATTGGGGGTGATGGAGTGGGGGTATGGGGGGGTGACACAATGGGGTGACAAGGGGGTGACATGGGGGTGAGACAGGGTGAATGGGAGTGATGGGGTGGGGGTGACATTGGGGGGGACACAGATGGGGTGACACTGGGGGGGTGACATTGGGGGTGATGGGGTGGGGGGGTGACACAATGGGGTGACAAGGGGGTGACATGGGGGGTGAGACAGAGGGTGAATGGGAGTGATGGGGTGGGGGTGTCATTGGGGGGGACACAGATGGGGTGACACTGGGGGGGTGACATTGGGGGTGATGGTGACATGGGGGTGACACTGGGTGACATTGGGGGTAAGGCTGGGGGTGACACAGATGGGGTGACACTGGGGGGTGATGGGGTGGGGGTGACATTGGGGGTGACAAAGAGGGGGTGACAATGATGGGGGTGACACTGGGGGGGTGACATTGGGGGTAACGGGCTGGGGATGTCACAGGAAGGTGATATTGGGGGTAACAGGGGTGACATTGGGGGTGACACAAGGGGGGTGACACAGATGGGGTGACACTGGGGGTGATGGAGTGGGTGTGACATTGGGGGTGACACAGTGGGGACACAGGGGGGTGATATTGGGGGTAACAGGGGGGTGACATTGGGGGTGACACAAGGGGGGTAACATTGCGGGGGTGACATTGGGGGGGTGACACAGATGGGGTGACATGGGGGGTGATGGGGTGGGGGTGACATTGGGGGTGACATGGGGGGTAACATTGGGGGTGACACAGATGGGGTGACACGGGGGTGACATGGGGTGACAGGGGATGAGGGTGACAGTGGGGGTGACATTGGGGGTAACAGGGGTTGGGGGTGACATGGAAATGGTAACACAGGGAGGTGACATTGGGGGTGATGGGGGGACACTGGGGGTGATGGGGTGGGGGTGACACTGAGGGTGATGGGGGTGACACTGGGGGTGATGGGATGGGGGTGACACTGGGGGTGATGGGGGGTGACATTGGGGGTGATGGGGGGTGACATTGGGGGTGATGGGGGGGTGACATTGGAGGTGATGGAGTGGGGATGACAGTGGGGGTAATGGGGTGGGGGTGACACTGGGGGTGATGGGGGGGTGACACTGGGGGTGATGGGGGGGGTGATGCTGATGGGGGGGGTGATGCTGATGCTGCCCCTCCCTCCGCAGGGCTCTGAGGTACCCGGATGTCTCCGCTCTCCCCCCTCGGCCTCCATCGCTCCCCTCCATCCCCTTCCTGCCCCACATCCCCCAGCAGCCCCATAGCGGGGTTCGCTGTTGGGGGGGGGGATCAGTGGGGGGGGGGGGGCATGGGGGTGGCCGGACCCCCCCATGTCCCCTGTGGTTGCGGGTGGAGCATCCCCATCCCCTGTGGTACCCAATAAAGGTCCCTGCAGCAGCTCCTGGTCCCCAATGGCATCAATGGGGGGGGGGGGGGGAATGGGGCTCCATCATCACTGCGGTCCCTTCGCATCCCCTCTTTGCAATGGGAGGCTCCGTGCCCCCCCCCCAGCCCCATTTCTGGGGGTGCCACCATCCCTATGGCATCTCCATGGGGACTGGGTACCACAGCATCTTCAATGGGGGCACTGGGTGCCATCATCCCCATGGCATCTCCCATCCATCACCATTACCTTGGGTACCACAGCATCTTCAATGGGGGCACTGGGTGCCATCATCCCTATGGCATCTCCATGGGGACTGGGTACCACAGCATCTTCAATGGGGGCACTGGGTGCCACCATCCCTATGGCATCTCCCATCCATCACCATTACCTTGGGTACCACAACATCTTCAATGGGGCACTGGGTGCCACCATCCCCATGGCATCTCCCATCCATCACCATTACCTTGGGTACCACAGCATCTTCAATGGGGGCACTGGGTGCCACCATCCCTATGGCATCTCCATGGGGACTGGGTACCACAGCATCTTCAATGGGGGCACTGGGTGCCACCATCCCTATGGCATCTCCATGGGGACTGGGTACCACAGCATCTTCAATGGGGGCACTGGGTGCCACCATCCCCATAGCATCTCCATGGGGACTGGGTACCACAGCATCTTCAATGGGGGCACTGGGTACCACCATCCCTATGGCATCTCCCATCCATCACCATGGACCTTGGGTACCACAGCATCTTCAATGGAGGCACTGGGTACCACCATCCCTAAGGCATCTCCATGGGGACTGGGTACCACAGCATCTTCAATGGAGGCACTGGGTGCCACCATCCCTATGGCATCTCCATGGACCCAAGCCTTGGGTACCACAGCATCTTCAATGGGGGCACTGGGTGCCACCATCCCTATGGCATCTCCCATCCATCACCATTACCTTGGGTACCACAGCATCTTCAATGGGGGCACTGGGTACCACCATCCCTATGGCATCTCCCATCCATCACCATTACCTTGGGTACCACAGCATCTTCAATGGGGGCACTGGTCCAGCGCCATGCTCCCAAGCATCCCCCGGTTTATGGGATGCAGGAGCCGGGTTCTGCCCCTGTTGCATCCCAGGGTCCATACTGGAAGCACTGGAGCCATTCCCTGGCAGTGGGACCGTGAGCCACCAAAGCTCTCTTCTCCCTTTATCCCATCCCATTGCCCCAGCACCCTCATAGGGAAGAACCCCCCAAGATCCCACCAACTCCCTCCCCATCCCATCCCCGCATCCCTCATCCCAAGCCCCTCTCCATGCACTGGAGCTGCTCTCAGGCCCCGACCCATCCATCCCATGGGATGGCTCCATCCCATCCCTTCCCATTGGAATCCCATTGGGAACAGTGAAGGGGTTGGGCTGTGCAGAGCTCTTTATATCCCGGTCCAAGGCGAGGCTGCTCCCGCGCCAGCCCCATTGAGTCCGTGCCCATGGAGGATCCGAGGGAGCCGATTGGGATGTCCCAAAGGGAGCCGGCTCCGGCGCTGCTTCCTTCCCAGTGGCATCCGCCTCGGTGTGGGGCAGGAGATGGGAATGGGGGGGACCCCTTTCCATAGGGGGTGCTCAGGATCCCCTTTCCATAGGGAAAGCTCAGGATCCCCTTTCCTTAGGGAATGCTCAGGATCCCCTTTCCATAGGGATGCTCAGGATCCCCTTTCCATAGGGGATGCTCAGGATCCCCATTCCATAGGGGATGCTCAGGATCCCCGTTCCATAGGGGATGCTCAGGATCCCCATTCCTTAGGGATGCTCAGGATCCCCATTCCATAGGGGATGCTCAGGATCCCCTTTCCATAGGGATGCTCAGGATCCCCTTTCCATAGGGGATGCTCAGGATCCCCTTTCCTTAGGGAATGCTCAGGATCCCCTTTCCATAGGGGATGCTCAGGATCCCCATTCCATAGGGAATGCTCAGGATCCCCATTCCTTAGGGAAAGCTCAGGATCCCCATTCCTTAGGGGATGCTCAGGATCCCCATTCCTTAGGGAAAGCTCCCCCATTCCTCACTGCCCCCCGCTCCATCCTCATCCCACTCCCCCTTCCCCTCCATGGGCGCATCCCATAGGATCCCAGTGTCCACCCATGGGCACCGCTGCAGGATCCTGGTTGGGGTCGGTCGGGATGCTCAGGGTCCAAAGCCGGTTCCGAGCCCCTTCCCAATGGAGGCTCCGGGATGGATGTGCAAAGCAAGGCCTGGAATTCCCTTTGGTGCGGATGCCATTCCCGAGGCGGATCCCTTAGGAAACAGTGGGGTCCTTGGGCTTGGCTTCGGGTCCCCCCAATAGGGATAAGGTGGGATCATCCGGGTATTCCTCGGTGTCCGTGCAATAGGGCCCCTCGCCCAGCTCGAAGAAGATGGGAAGCTCCCCAGAGCCCATGTCCACGGCACTGGAATCCACTAGGAATAGGGGCTGGGCTGTGTAGTGCACGAGCTGCTTCCCTATGGAGAGAGATGGGGACACTGGGATGGGGTGGGACTGGGATGGAGCATCCCAACCTTCATCCCCTTCCAGCGTCCCCATAGGGAAGAACTCAAGATCCCATCAACTCTTCCCTCTTCCCATCCCTGCATCCCTCATCCCAACCCCTCTCCATGGTCCCTGCAGCCCATTCAGGCACTGGGGATGCTCTAAGGTCCCCCCCCTATATGGGGTTTATGCTGCTCCATCCCATCATCCCCTCCCCATCGTCTCCATCATCACAATTCCCATTGGATACTGGGATGCTGCTGGTACCTGCATCTCCTGCTCCGGCCTCGGGCTCCGTGGGCTTCTGCTGTTCCTGGGATGAAAGGAGATCCTGGATCTGTGGGATAAAGAGTCGGGATCTCATTGGCCAGCACATGGATGCTCAGCACCCCCAGTTGTGGTCCGGGGTCTGCTTCCCTCATCCCATCCCTGCATCCCTCATCCCATCCCTGCATCCCTCATCCCATCCCTGCATCCCTCATCCCACCCCTGCATCCCTCATCCCACCCCTGCATCCTTCATCCCATCCCTGCATCCCTCATCCCATCCCTGCATCCCTCATCCCATCCCTGCATCCCTCATCCCATTCCTGCATCCCTCATCCCATCCCTGCATCCCTCATCCCACCCCTGCATCCTTCATCCCATCCCTGCATCCCTCATCCCATCCCTGCATCCCTGCATCCCAGGATGCTCCTTTGGATGCAGCCCTGCCATGGGGCCACCACTGCTCCAGCTCTGGGGCTCTGCTCTGCCCCTGCTTCCTCCCTGCCCCTTCTTAAGGCAGATCCCAAGGATCCATCCCCATCATCCCATGGATCGCATCCGGCTCTTGGAAGGAGCCTCCTTTGGGATGGATCCAGCGCTGTTGATGCCCATGGAGGGGGATCTCCATGCTTCCCATCTGCATCCCGCTCAGATCCTGCTCCATCCCATCACCCCCTTCCCTTCCAACCTCTGGAGCAGCCAAGCTCATCCCCATGGGAGGTTGATGGGAAGCCCATGGAGCAATGGGGATGATGATGAAGGATGAAGGATGAAGGATGATGAAGGATGGAGGATGAAGGATGATGAAGGATGGAGGATGGAGGATGAAGGATAAAGGATGAAGGATGAAGGATGAAGGATGAAAAAGGATGAAGAATGAAGAAGGATGAAGGATGAAGGATGAAGAAGGATGAAGGATGAAGGATGAAGGATGAAGAAGGATGAAGGATGAAGAAGGATGAAGGATGAAGAAGGATGAAGGATGAAGGATGAAGGATGAAGAAGGATGAAGGATGAAGAAGGATGAAGAAGGATGAAGGATGAAGAAGGATGAAGGATGAAGAAGGATGAAGGATGAAGGATGAAGAAGGATGAAGAATGAAGAAGGATGAAGGATGAAGAAGGATGAAGAATGAAGAAGGATGAAGGATGAAGGATGAAGAAGGATGAAGGATGAAGAAGGATGAAGGATGAAGGATGACGAAGGATGAAGGATGAATGATGAGGAAGGATGAAGAAGGATGAAGGACGGAGAAGGATGAAGGATGATGAAGGATGATGAAGGATGGATTGGTCCTGCTCAGGACCAGCCCCACATCTCCATCCTCATCACCCCACCAAGCATTGGGCTGGGTGCTGAGGAGCTCAGGAGCCCCGTGCTGGCTCCCCAAGGACTCACAGTGGCCAGGCTGCTGTCCAGGTCGGGCAGGTTCATGTCCGTGACCGTCATGGAGGGGCTGAAGAGCTGCCAAAGGGAAGAGGAGATGAGGACAGGGATGGAGGGCGTTCAAATCCAGGCATCCATGGATGCCATGGGAATTCCCAGCTGGAACCGGCCTTGGGAGCCAGGGGGAGATCTGGGGGGAGATGTCCAATGGATCCAGTGGGAGACCCAGCTGGAGATGTCCAACTGATGCAGTTGGAGACCCAGTTGGAGATGTCCAACCAATCCAGTTGGAGATCCAGCTGGAGATGCCCAACCAATCCAGCTGGAGATGTCCAACCGACCCATTGGAGATCCAGTTGGAGATGGCCAGCCAATCCAGTTGGAGATCCAGTTGGAGATGCCCAACCAATCCAGCTGGAGATGCCCAACCAATCCAGCTGGAGATGTCCAAAGGATCCATTGGAGATCCAGTTGGAGATGCCCAACCAATCCAGCTGGAGATGCCCAACCAATCCAGCTGGAGATGTCCAACCAATCCATAGGAGATCCAGGTGGAGATGTCCAACCAATGGAACTGCAGATGTCCAACCGACCCATTGGAGATGCCCAACCCATCCAGTTGGAGATACCCAACCAATCTAGTTGGAGATCCAGCTGGAGATGCCCAACCAATCCAGTTGGAGATCCAGCTGGAGATGCCCAACCAATCCAGTTGGAGATGCCCAACCAATCCCGTTAGAGATCCCGTTGGAGATGCCCAACCAATCCAGTTGGAGATGCCCAACCAATCCATTGGACATCCAGTTAGAGATGCCCAACCAATCCCGTCGCAGATGCCCAACCAATCACATTGGAGAAGCCCAACAGACCCATTGCAGATCCACCTGGAGTTTTCCAACGGCTCCACCTGAAGGCCCCCCCCTTGGTCCCCATTCCCCCCAGTCCCCATCTCCGACCCCCAGGGGCCCACACTCACATCCAGCAAGGCGCTCGTGTCCACGCTGAAGCCGTGCGTGCTCAGCATGGTCTGCAGGCTCTCCAGGTTGGAGTCCATGGTGTCCACGTGCTCGTTGAGCTCTGTCCTGCGGGGGGGGCACAGAGGGGTTGGGGGTCAGGGGTTGGGGGTCAGGGGTTGGGGGTCATGGACCTCACCCCGGCCCCATGGGGCTCCCCGCTCTCCCCATCCCTGCCTCCAGTGCAGGAGCCTTTGGAGCGTTCCACAGGGGAGCAGCAAGGATGAGGAACCCGAATGGGTGAGGCCTGGAGGGCCTATGGGTCCCCTAGGGATTCCTATGGGTCCTTTATGGATTCCTATGGATCCCCTATGGGTCCCTATGGATCCCCCATGGATCCCTTATGGATTCCCTATGGATCCTAATGGATCCCCTATGGATTCATACGGATCCCCCATGGATCCCTTATGGATTCCTATGGGTCCCCTAGGGATTCCTATGGGTCCCTTATGGATTCCTATGGATCCCCTACGGGTCCCTATGGATCCCCCATGGATCCCTTATGGATTCCCTATGGATCCTAATGGATCCCCTATGGATTCATACGGATCCCCCATGGATCCCTTATGGATTCCTATGGGTCCCCTAGGGATTCCTATGGGTCCCTTATGGATTCCTATGGATCCCCTATGGATTCCTATGGATCCCCTATGGATTCCTTATGGATTCCTATGGGTCCCCTATGGATTCCTTATGGATTCCTATGGGTCCCCTATGGATTCCTTATGGATTCCTATGGGTTCCCTATGGATTCCCTATGGATCCCCTAGGGATTCCCTATGGATTCCTATGTATTCCCTATGGATTATTATGGATTCCCTATGGATTCCTTATGGATCCCCTATGGATTCCTATGGATTCCATATGGATCCCCTATGGACTCCTTATGGATTCCCCATGGATTCCTATGGATTCCCTATGGATGATTACGGATTCCCTATGAACACATAGGGAATGCACATCCCTGCATGGACCCAGGAGGTTCCCATTCACACACTGGGAAGAGGCCACTTGGTCCCATGGGAATCGCAGAGGGTGAATGGGGAAGATGCATCCCATAAACTGTTGCCATGGAAAGCAAGCTGGGATCCTGCTCCATGGGGATCACTGGGATGGATGGGAGAGATCCCATCAGCTCTTCCCTCTTCCTCCTCATCCCATCCCTGCATCCCCATAGGGTTTGCAGTGGGAAAGCATCCCAATAGAAAAGGAAGGAACCATCAGGGATGGAGCTCTTGATCCTTAGGGATGGAGCCGCGCTCCCATCCATTGGAATGGTGACCCTGGCCATGATCTGTAATGGAGAGAGGAAGAGGAAGGAGGGGGAGATCCCAATACAGAGCCAAGGGGGGGTTAGAGCAGAGCCAAGCTTGGGGATGGGATGGGGATGGGGATGGGGATGGGATGGGGATGGGGATGGGATGGGGATGGGATGGGGATGGGATGGGGATGGGATGGGTTGGGATGGGGATGGGATGGAATGGGATGGGGATGGGATGGGGATGGGGATGGGATGAATGGGATGGAATGGGATGTGATGGGATGCGTGGGCAGGGACCCCGTCCATCGGAGCAGGGGGCTCCAGACCTTGAGCACTGCAAGGGATGGGGCAGCCCCAGCTTCAAGCCCTTCCTGGGTCCTACCATGGGGGGCCTCCATCCCATTCACATCCATGCATCCAGGAGCATCCAGGAGCATCCAATGCTCCTCACATCCCATTCACATCCATGCATCCAGGAGCATCCAGGAGCACCCAATGCTCCCATCCCATTCACATCCATGCATCCAGGAGCATCCAGGGGCATCCAACGCTCCTCACATCCCATTCACATCCATGCACCCAGGAGCATCCAGGAGCATCCAGGATCCAGGAGCATCCAATGCTCCTCACATCCCATTCACATCCATGCACCCAGGAGCATCCAATGCTCCTCACATCCCATTCACATCCATGCATCCAGGAGCATCCAGGAGCACCCAATGCTCCTCACATCCCATTCACATCCATGCATCCAGGAGCATCCAATGCTCCTCACATCCCATTCACATCCATGCATCCAGGAGCATCCAATGCTCCTCACATCCCATTCACATCCATGCACCCAGGAGCATCCAATGCTCCTCACATCCCATTCACATCCATGCATCCAGGAGCATCCAGGAGCATCCAATGCTCCTCACATCCCATTCACATCCATGCATCCAGGAGCATCCAATGCTCCTCACATCCCATTCACATCCATGCATCCAGGAGCATCCAATGCTCCTCACATCCCATTCACATCCATGCATCCAGGAGCATCCAGGAGCACCCAATGCTCCCATCCCATTCACCCCATCCCCCTGCTCCCATCCCTGCTGCCCTCACTGCACACACATGGAGCCAGCAAGGATGCTCCTGTAAAGGGCCCCTTGAGTCCCCTCAATGGGCACAGGGGGGGGATGCTTTGGGTACCACGCTCCAGTATCCCCATACAAAGAGCCCCTTTCATCCCCAGTTCAAAGGCTGCTCCCATAGAGGTGAGGGCTGAGCTCCCATCGCATTCCTATGCACAGAGGAGCCCTTTGTGGATCAAGTGACAAAGGGAGGGGGGGCAGGAGGCTCACAATGGGGTGATGCAAAGCTCCCCTTCTCCAATGAAGCAGGGAATCAGTGGAGCGTGGTCCCTAAGGATGGGGATCCAGGGGACAATGACAGTGACTGGGTCAAGGGAGAGGGGCTGGGGTCCCCCATAGAATGGTTTGGATTGGGAAGGAGCTGAAGCTCACCCAGTTCCATGGGCAGGGACACCTCACACTAACCCATGGTACCCAAGGCCTCATCCAAGCTGGCCTTGGGATGGAGCATTCCCAACCTCCCTGGGCACCCATCCCAGTGCCTCAGCATCCTCCCAGGGAAGAATTCCCTCCTTAGATCCAATCTAAACCTCCCCTGTTCCAGTTTGACCCCATTACCCCTTGTCCCATCACTGCAGTCCCTAATGGAGAGCCCATCCCCAGCATCCCTATAGCCCCCTTCACACACTGGAAGCTGCTCTGAGGTCTCCACGCATCCTCATCCCAACTCTCCCATCCTATCCCCATATGGGAGCATCCCCATGGCCCCCTCTGCACTTGTTCCATCAGCCCCATGTCCTTTCTATGCTGAGGACCCCAGACCTGCACCCAATGCTCCAAGTGAGGCCTCACCAGAGCAGAATAAAGGGGCAGCATCACCTCCTTCTCCCTGCTGGTCCCACTCCTTGGGATGCAGCCCAGGATGGGGTTGGTTTAGGGGCTCATAGAGCACACACTGCACCCTGCTCATGTTCATCCCCCCATGGACCAGCATCCCCAGGTCCTGAATCCCTTCTCTACCCAACCTGGGATTGCTCCCATCCAAGTGTAGGACCTTGCCCTTGGCATGGTTGAACCCCATGAGGTTGGCATCAGCCCAACCCCACAGCTTGGTGCCATCACACACTTGATGATGGTGCATCAATCCCAGTGTCCATGGTGGTGATGAAGCCCCCTGAGGGACACCAGTCGTTACTGGTCTCCAGATGGACATGGAGCCATTGACCATAACTCATTGTGTGAGGCCATCCAGCCAGTTCTTTACCCACCGAGTGGTCCATCCATCACATTGATGGCTCTCCAGTTTAGAGACCAGTATGTCGTATGGGACAGTGTGGAATGCTTTACACAAGGTAGATGGCATCAACTGCTCTAGCCCTGGCCACCGGTTCTGTAGCCACCCAAGTGGTCAGGCAGGATGTCCCCTTGGGGAAGCCCATGCTGGGTGGCATCAAGCACCTTGGTGGTGAAGGAGACCTCAGATCTCCATAGGGGAGATGGGAGATCTTCATGTGGGAGATGTGAGATCTCCATATGGGAGATGTGAGATCTCCATGTGGGAGATGTGAGATCTCCATATGGGAGATGTGAGATCTCCATATGGGAGATGGGAGATCTCCATATGGGAGATGTGAGATCTCCATATGGGAGATGTGAGATCTCCATATGGGAGATGGGAGATCTTCATATGGGAGATGTGAGATCTCCATATGGGAGATGTGAGATCTCCATATGGGATATGTGAGATCTTCATATGGGAGATGTGAGATCTCCATATGGGAGATGGGAGATCTCCATATGGGAGATGTGAGATCTCCATATGGGAGATGTGAGATCTCCATATGGGAGATGGGAGATCTTCATATGGGAGATGTGAGATCTCCATATGGGAGATGTGAGATCTCCATATGGGATATGTGAGATCTTCATATGGGAGATGTGAGATCTCCATATGGGAGATGGGAGATCTCCATATGGGAGATGTGAGATCTCCATATGGGAGATGTGAGATCTCCATATGGGAGATGGGAGATCTTCATATGGGAGATGTGAGATCTCCATATGGGAGATGTGAGATCTCCATATGGGAGATGTGAGATCTCCATATGGGAGATGGGAGATCTCCATATGGGAGATGGGAGATCTCCATATGGGAGATGGGAGATCTCCATGTGGGAGATGTGAGATCTCCATATGGGAGATGGGAGATCTTCATATGGGATATGTGAGATCTCCATATGGGAGATGTGAGATCTCCATATGGGAGATGTGAGATCTCCATATGGGAGATGTGAGATCTCCATGTGGGAGATGTGAGATCTCCATGTGGGAGATGTGAGATCTCCATATGGGAGATGTGAGATCTTCATATGGGAGATGGGAGATCTCCATATGGGAGATGTGAGATCTTCATGTGGGAGATGTGAGATCTCCATATGGGAGATGTGAGATCTCCATATGGGATATGTGAGATCTCCATATGGGATATGTGAGATCTCCATAGGGGAGATGTGAGATCTCCATATGGAGAAGGAGATGTGAGATCTTCATATGGGAGATGTGAGATCTTCATGTGGGAGATGTGAGATCTCCATATGGGATATGTGAGATCTCCATATGGGAGATGTGAGATGTCCATAGGGGAGATGTGAGATCTCCATAGGGGAGATGTGAGATCTCCATATGGGAGATGTGAGATCTCCATATGGGAGATGTGAGATCTCCATATGGGAGATGTGAGATCTCCATAGGGGAGATGTGAGATCTCCATATGGGAGATGTGAGATCTTCATGTGGGAGATGTGAGATCTCCATATGGGATATGTGAGATCTCCATATGGGAGATGTGAGATGTCCATAGGGGAGATGTGAGATCTCCATAGGGGAGATGTGAGATCTCCATATGGGAGATGTGAGATCTCCATAGGGGAGATGTGAGATCTCCATATGGGAGATGTGAGATCTCCATAGGGGAGATGTGAGATCTCCATATGGGAGATGTGAGATCTCCATATGGGATATGTGAGATCTCCATATGGAGAAGGAGATGTGAGATCTTCATATGGGAGATGTGAGATCTCCATGTGGATATGGAGATGCTCTTGGCATCCCATGTGGATAAAGAGCTCCCTATCTTTGGACCCCATCCCTTGCAGGAGCACCCATGAGGTCTGTGGGGTGCTCAATGGTGGAAGGGTACCTCTGATCCCCACTCAATGTGAGCATGGAGCCATGGGATGGGTTGGGATAAAGGGACCTTCAAGCTCCTCCAGCTCCATCCCCATCCATTGGAGCAGGATGCCCAATGTGTCCAACCTGCCCTTGAGCATTGCCATGGATGGGGCATGCTATGGCCTTGGGATAACGTTCACCATGGCTGGGGCCAGGAGGCCAAACTGCATCCCATGGGAATGTGGGATGGGCAAAGCAGAGCATAGAGAGGGACAGGGCCATAGGGCACAAGGCACCTCCACCTGAGCCCCATTGGGAGCTGAACCATGGGTCAGAAGAGGGGGTTCCACCCCATTGCTCTGGGGTGCCAAACTGCAGAGGGATGTGAGGATGCTCTAAGGGATGGGGCAGCATGGAGAGGAGAAGGGTTCTGAAGGGGAGAGCTGAGAGCAGGGCCTGCAGGGGGGCTTTGGGATGAGGGATGCAGGGATGGGATGAGGAGGAAGAGGGAAGAGTTGATGGGATCTTGGGGGGTTCTTCCCCATGAGGGTGCTGAAGGGGATGAAGGGAGGAGTTTGGGATGCTCCATCCCTGCCAGGTTGGACACAGGGGCTCGGAGCATCCTGCTCCAATGGAAATGGATGGAGCTGGGGGTGCTTTAAGGTCCCTTCATCCCCCCCATAGCACTCACTTGTCGAGGCAGGCGATGCTGAGGCACTTGGGCTGCGGCTGCGTGGGACCGGTGCTGGCTGCAGCCCCGGTGCTGGGTTCAGGCTCCTGCAGGAAGGAGTCAATGAAGGTGGAAGGGAAGAGCGAGGGCTCCATGGTAGGAGGCTGCCCAGGACCGGCCTCCTCTACCTGCGGGCTGCGGCTGGGGCTGGGGGGCTCCTCCTTGATCCGCACCATGGGGCTGCTCCTGGAATAGCAATGGGGGGGGAATGGTGAGAGGGGAACGTGTTTGGCCCCATAGAACACCCACACACACACACACATACCCCTTGTCCAGGTATCAGAGCATCCCTGCTCTGAGCTCGCTCCTGCATCAGCAGTGGGGGTCTTGGGGATGATGGGGTGGGAGGATTTGGGGTACAGGGAGGATGGATGGGAGGAGGGTGGGGTTTGTCTGAACAGTACTGTTAAAAGAAGGGGGCTTTGGAGGAGGGAACAGGCAAATGGAACAGGAGCAGCACAGGGGAGGTACCAGGACATCATCACCACCAAGGGTACCAGGACATCATCACCATCAAGGGTACCAGGACATCATCACCATCAAGGGTACCAGGACATCATCACCATCAAGGGTACCAGGACATCATCACCACCAAGGGTACCAGGGCATCATCACCACCAAGGGTACCAGGACATCATCACCACCAAGGGTACCAGACATCATCACCACCAAGGGTACCAGGACATCATCACCACCAAGGGTACCAGGACATCATCACCACCAAGGGTACCAGGACATCATCACCATCAAGGGTACCAGGACATCATCACCACCAAGGGTACCAGGACATCATCACCATCAAGGGTACCAGGACATCATCACCACCAAGGGTACCAGGACATCATCACCACCAAGGGTACCAGGACATCATCATCACCACCAAGGGTACCAGGCCACCATCACCACCAAGCCATCAGATCCCCCTTGAGCCTTCTCTTCCCATCCCACCCCATGCTTCCATGCATCTCCCAAGGGATGGAAGAGGAAGGTACCTCCCATCGAGGCTGCCGCTGGGGGATGCTGAGGGGCTGGATTGGGCGAGCTCGGTCACGTCGGAGATGATGGGACCAGAATTGGCTGAAGAATCCGGGGAATAGAGGTTGGAGCCACTGTATGCTGGGGAAGAAGCCTGCAATGACAATCACAGCATTCCCAGTGTGAAGCACTGGGCACAGACTGGGCACTGCCCCGTGTTGGGAGATGGAGCAGAGGAAGCACATCATAACCCTCATCCCCCTATGGGAGAAAGCATCCATGGGGCAAAGGGGATTCCAGGTTAAAGGAACAGTAGGAAAACAGGGGGGGAAAGTGGGGAATATCGTGGTCCATCATTGCGTGCATCCCATTCCCTGCTGTAGGGGGTTAAAGGAGCACTTTGGGATGGCATGGATACGACCCCGCACCTCCTTCCCTATTGAAATCCTATGGGATAACCCTAAAGGATTGCATCTCATGGCCAGCAGGAAGATGTGGGGATGCTCTGTGCTGCAGGCTGGCCATGGTGGAACATCCCACTCTGCTCCGGTCACACCAGTGGCAGCAGGATTCCTTACTGGATAAAGTGGGGAGCACTGGTGGGGAGCCTCCACAGACACAGCTCTGGATGGAGGCTTCAGGGCACCGATGGCTTCTGAGCATCCAAGGGTGGATTGGGGGGCACAGAAAGGGGGACCAGGAGGTGGCAGGAGCTGCATGGAGGTGATGGCATCAGGGATGCAATGGCAGGAGCTGCATGGATGTGATGCCAGGAGCTGCATGGATGTGATGCCAGGAGCTGCATGGATGTGATGCCAGGAGCTGCATGGATGTGATGCCAGGAGCTGCATGGATGTGATGCCAGGAGCTGCATGGATGTGATGCCAGGAGCTGCATGGATGCAGTGCCAGGAGCTGCATGGATGCAGTGCCAGGAGCTGCATGGATGTGATGCCAGGAGCTGCATGGATGCAGTGCCAGGAGCTGCATGGATGTGATGCCAGGAGCTGCATGGATGTGATGCCAGGAGCTGCATGGATGTGATGCCAGGAGCTGCAGGGATGTGATGCCAGGAGCTGCATGGATGTGATGCCAGGAGCTGCATGGATGTGATGCCAGGAGCTGCATGGATGTGATGCCAGGAGCTGCAGGGATGTGGTGCCAGGAGCTGCATGGATGTGATGCCAGGAGCTGCATGGATGCGATGCCAGGAGCTGCATGGATGTGATGCCAGGAGCTGCATGGGTGGTGTGGATGTGATGCCAGGAGCTGCATGGATGTGATGCCAGGAGCTGCATGGATGTGATGCCAGGAGCTGCATGGATGCAGTGCCAGGAGCTGCATGGATGTGATGCCAGGAGCTGCATGGATGTGATGCCAGGAGCTGCATGGATGTGGTGCCAGGAGCTGCATGGATGTGATGCCAGGAGCTGCATGGATGTGATGCCAGGAGCTGCAGGGATGCGATGCCAGGAGCTGCATGGATGTGATGCCAGGAGCTGCATGGATGCAGTGCCAGGAGCTGCATGGATGCAGTGCCAGGAGCTGCATGGATGTGATGCCAGGAGCTGCATGGATGTGATGCCAGGAGCTGCAGGGATGTGATGCCAGGAGCTGCATGGATGTGATGCCAGGAGCTGCATGGATGTGATGCCAGGAGCTGCATGGATGTGATGCCAGGAGCTGCATGGATGCAGTGCCACGAGCTGCATGGATGAGATGCCAGGAGCTGCATGGATGCGATGCCAGGAGCTGCATGGATGTGATGCCAGGAGCTGCAGGGATGCGATGCCAGGAGCTGCATGGATGTGATGCCAGGAGCTGCATGGATGTGATGCCAGGAGCTGCAGGGATGCGATGCCAGGAGCTGCATGGATGTGATGCCAGGAGCTGCATGGATGCAGTGCCAGGAGCTGCATGGATGTGATGCCAGGAGCTGCATGGATGTGATGCCAGGAGCTGCATGGATGTGATGCCAGGAGCTGCATGAATGTGATGCCAGGAGCTGCAGGGATGTGATGCCAGGAGCTGCATGGATGTGATGCCAGGAGCTGCATGGATGTGATGCCAGGAGCTGCATGGATGTGATGCCAGGAGCTGCAGGGATGTGATGCCAGGAGCTGCATGGATGTGATGCCAGGAGCTGAATGGGTGTGATGCCAGGAGCTGCATGGATGTGATGCCAGGAGCTGCATGGATGTGATGCCAGGAGCTGCATGGATGTGATGCCAGGAGCTGCATGGATGCAGTGCCAGGAGCTGCAGGGATGTGATGCCAGGAGCTGCATGGATGTGATGCCAGGAGCTGCATGGATGTGATGCCAGGAGCTGCATGGATGCGATGCCAGGAGCTGCATGGATGCAGTGCCACGAGCTGCATGGATGAGATGGCAGGAGCTGCATGGATGTGGTGCCAGGAGCTGCATGGATGTGATGCCAGGAGCTGCATGGATGTGATGCCAGGAGCTGCATGGATGTGATGCCAGGAGCTGCATGGATGTGATGCCAGGAGCTGCATGGATGTGATGCCAGGAGCTGCAGGGATGCGATGCCAGGAGCTGCATGGATGTGATGCCAGGAGCTGCATGGATGTGATGCCAGGAGCTGCATGGATGTGATGCCAGGAGCTGCATGGATGTGATGCCAGGAGCTGCATGGATGTGATGCCAGGAGCTGCAGGGATGTGATGCCAGGAGCTGCATGGATGTGATGCCAGGAGCTGCATGGATGTGATGCCAGGAGCTGCATGGATGTGATGCCAGGAGCTGCAGGGATGTGATGCCAGGAGCTGCATGGATGCAGTGCCAGGAGCTGCATGGATGTGATGCCAGGAGCTGCATGGATGTGATGCCAGGAGCTGCATGGATGTGATGCCAGGAGCTGCATGGATGTGATGCCAGGAGCTGCATGGATGTGTGCCAGGAGCTGCATGGATGTGATGCCAGGAGCTGCATGGATGTGATGCCAGGAGCTGCATGGATGTGATGCCAGGAGCTGCATGGATGTGATGCCAGGAGCTGCATGGATGTGATGCCAGGAGCTGCATGGATGTGATGCCAGGAGCTGCATGGATCTGAGGGCATGGGATGAGGCTTTTGGTACCCAGAGGGCAGTTTGAGGCACTCAAAAGCATCCTGTGGTGTCCCTGAAGGGTTCAGGGCCTGTGTGAAGGGGGTGCTTCAAAAGGATGGGAGGGCACAGACATATGGAATAATGGGATCATGGGATGCTCCAGCTCCATTGGAGCAGGGTACCCCAAGCCCCTGTGTCCAACCTGCCAGGGATGGAGCATCCCAAACTCCTCCCTTTATCTCATCCCAGCATCCTCATTGGGAAGAACTTCATCCCAGTATCCCAGGGAAACCCCCTCTGTTCCAGTCTGAACCCATCACCTATCCCTACAGTCTCTAATACAGTGTTAAACCCATAAGCATTGATAACTCCACTTGATTTTGGCCAAAAGAACCCTAATGGGGCAGCCCCCAGTATCCATTGGGATCCAGTGGGAACATTCCAGAGCATCCATCCCCAGGGCCACCCCTCTGCTGAGAGCAGCTCCAGTGCCTGGATGGAGCCTTGGGATGAGGGATGCAGGGATGGGATGAAGAGGGAAGCAGGAGGTTGGAAGAGCCTTGGATGGGGATGCTGCAGCGCATCCCTTCCCTATGGATCCCTGGATCCGTGTCCCCTATCCGGGAGTAGGGTACTCACTGTGTATGGGGAGGAGTGCTCCAGGGAATACTGGCGGCTGTACTTGGGCATGGAATGTGCTGGGCTGCCATCGTTCAGCATCAGGGGGCTGCAAGACAAAGCCAAGCACCCAGCATCACCCAGGGACCGCATCCTGCACCCACCAATACGGGGGGGGGGTCCCCATGGGGATGCGGGCATAGGAGGTGCCACTTCCCATAGGGATGAGTGGGGAAGCATCATGGGGTTAGGTTGGGAAAGATCTTTGAAGCCCACCCAGTCCAACCATTGCCAGCCAACTGGTGGTCCATGGCACTGAGGGCCTCGTCTCCATGGTGTGGGAACACTTGTAGGGATGGGGGAACCCCATCTTCTTGTTCCAGGGTACCACCAAAGGAGCCCATCTCATGGGATGGGATGGGATGGGATGAGCAGGAGCTGCTCAGCTCAATGCATCTGAGATGAGGGACAACAGGAGGACCACCCCTACCCATAAGGAGAGCAATGGGACCTGCTCTGCTGCTCCTCTCCCTATTCCCTTAATAGGGAAGCATCTCCATCACTTACATCTTCCTCTTCACTCCGAGGATGCGGTTGGATTGAACCAATGAGATCAGGAACTGGATGAGCTGTGGGGAGGAGAAAGGACAAGAGCCTGTGATGGGGGGTACAGGAAATGCACTGGGACCATTGGCAGAGCTGAACTGGGCACTGGGGACATGGGGAGGGCACAAAGGGGGATGCTGGCAGCCCAAATCCAGCCTTTTCCCATTGGGTTCCCATCATCTTCCAGCAATGGGAAGGCTCAAAATGATGCTTTAAATGGGATTAATGCCACTGCATCCCACTGATGCTGAGCTGGATATGGGGGATATGGGGAGTGCACAAAGGGGGATGCTGGCAGCCCAAATCCAGCCTTTTCCCATTGGATTCCCATCATCTTCCAGCAATGGGAAGGCCCAAAATGATGCTTTAAATGGGATTAATGCCACTGCATCCCACTGATGCTGAGCTGGATATGGGGGACATGGGGAGTGCACAAAGGGGGATGCTGGCAGCCCAAATCCAGCCTTTTCCCATTGGATTCCCATCATCTTGTACCATTGGGAAGGCTCAAAATGATGCTTTAAATGGGATTAATGCCACTGCATCCCACTGATGCTGAGCTGGAGATGGGGAGTGCACAAAGGGGGATGCTGGCAGCCCAAATCCAGCCTTTTCCCATTGGATTCCCATCATCTTGTACCATTGGGAAGGCTCAAAATGATGCTTTAAATGGGATTAATGCCACTGCATCCCACTGATGCTGAGCTGGACATGGGGAATGCACAAAGGGGGATGCTGGCAGCCCAAATCCAGCCTTTTCCCATTGGGTTCCCATCATCTTGTACCATTGGGAAGGCTCAAAATGATGCTTTAAATGGGATTAATGCCACTGCATCCCACTGATGCTGAGCTGGATATGGGGGACATGGGGAGTGCACAAAGGGGGATGCTGGCAGCCCAAATCCAGCCTTTTCCCATTGGATTCCCATCATCTTCCAGCAATGGGAAGGCTCAAAATGATGCTTTAAATGGGATTAATGCCACTGCATCCCACTGATGCTGAGCTGGACATGGGGAGTGCACAAAGGGGGATGCTGGCAGCCCAAATCCAGCCTTTTCCCATTGGATTCCCATCATCTTCCACCAATGGGAAGGCTCAAAATGATGCTTTAAATGGGATTAATGCCACTGCATCCCACTGATGCTGAGCTGGACATGGGGGACATGGGGAGTGCACAAAGGTGGATGCTGCCAGCCCAAATCCAGCCTTTTCCCATTGGATTCCCATCATCTTCCACCAATGGGAAGGCCCAAAATGATGCTTTAAATGGGATTAATGCCACTGCATCCCACTGATGCTGCGCGCCCGCATCCCGGTCACCCCCTCCCCATGCCCCCCAATACAAGAGGGTCCCAATCCATAGGGAAAAGTGGGATTTACCTTATTGACCACCTTCTGCTGCTGGGCGTGCTTCTGCCTCAGGCTGGCCACCTCCCTCCACAGCGCCTCGTTCTCACTGTAAAGGAAGCAGCAGGTATCTGAGACCCGAATTGAGAGCATCCTCACCAGTAGGGATGCAGGCACTTCCCAGTTCCAGCATCATTCCCAGCTCCAGCATCATTCCCAGCCTCCCAGTGCTCGGGAAGGCCTCCTTGCCATTGATTCCTACATGGGAATGGGGATGGAGCCCAGTTCCACAGCCATCACCTGGGGCTGTGTGTTCCCAGTGTGGTTCCATAGATCCGCTCCCATGGACCAATCCGATCCCATGGACCAATGGGATGGGGTGGGATGAAGGCAGCTTAAAGCATCTCCAGCTCCAAGGCCCTGTGTCCAACGTGGCCTTGAGCACTGCTATGGATCCCAGCATCCTCATTGGGAAGAACTTCATCCCAGTATCCCCTCTGGTCCAGTTTGAACCCATCACCTATCCCTACGGCCTCTAACACAGTGTTAACCCCATAAGCACTGATAACTCCACTTGATCCTGGCCAAAAAGGCTCATTCCCTCTTTAAGCCCCAATTCCCAACCTCCAAACCCATTTAGGAATTCCCTGGTTTCCCTTTTCCATGCCTGGGGATCAATGGAGCATCCAATGGGTGCATAGACACAGCAAGGAGCATCACTGCCACCAGTGGAACTGGAGCAGCTTTAAGGTCCCTTCCAACCCAAACCATTCCATGGATCCATGAGGATGCGGATGGAGCAGTGCTGGGTATGATGGGGTGGGGGGGGTAGGACCAGGGCCAGGCATTCCCAAAGGATCAGCCCTTGATGAGGGGCAGGTGCAGAGCTGGCTCCTGTCAAACACTGGGATCATGGCAACGCTTCCTCACTCCCTTTAATCCCCATTCAAACCAATGGCTTGGAACCCATCACAAACCAGTATAAAGACGCTGGGGCTGCTCCCAGCCCAGTTTAACCCAGTGGGAACCGGTGTCCAGCTGCTCCCATCCCATTGCCTAATGAGCAGTGACCACCCCAACCCTGGCTCAGGTGGGATGGAGCAGATGAGGCCAGCTCCATTCCCATCCCCATTCCCACCCTTGGGAATGCTGCCAAGGGAAGGGCTCCATGGGCTTTGTTATCCCGAGGCGGGTCCAGGAGCTGGGGTCAGATGGGGGGGATGCAGAGATCCGGGATAATTTACACTCATCCCAAACCCCCTGCTGGGGCCTGGAGCATCCTCAGCCTCCATGCGTGTAATTGGCAGCTGGTGCACAGCAGAGCCCTTTAGGAATGCCTTGGGAATGATGCTTGGATGTCATCCCCCCCCCCTCCCCATCATTGCAGTGGGTAAAGGGGGGGGATGCTCCATCCGAAGGGAAATGAGTGCTTGGTTGGAGGTACCCGCATGTGGGAGCTGGGTTTGGGATGCAGGGAGTGATTCCTGATGGGAGAGGCCATAGGGATGCTGTGAGGGATGGGGCATTCCTTATGTGGGAGTAGGGATGCTCCTGCCCCATTCCTGGGAATGGGGATGCTGTTTGTCATCAGGATTGATGATGCTCTAATCACTGCACTGCACCATGATGGATGAGCCTGTGGGACAGAAGGGATGCCAACAACCACCTGGATCAAACTGGGAGCACTGGGATTAGTGGGAGGGCTGAGAGCAGCTCCAGTGCCTGAATGGAGCCTGGAGAGGGACAAAGGATGCAGGGATGGGACAATGGGAATGGCTGAGCTGGGCTCTTAGGCAGTGCTCAAGGGTAGGATTGGGATTGCTCAAGCTCCAACCTCCCCTTTAGGTCTTAACCCAAAGAGCTTCTGCAATGGGGGGGGTATTGATGGTGATGGAGAGGGCCAAAAGCCTCCCTTGGGTACCAGGGGATGGTACCCGTGGGTACCACGGAGGAGGAAGATGCTGGTGCTTGGCAACGCACTGTGAGGATGCGGTGGCCGCAGGCCCTTGGTGATGGTACCGAAGGATGCTCTGGTATTTGAGACAAGAGAATGGATTTGGACCAACATCAGAAGGGTTTTACCTAGGAAACCACTGGGCAAAGTTGCCCATTTTGGGGCTGTTTGGGACAAAGATGCTCTGGTTTATCCCAACCCTTTAAGCACAATGCACACTGGGGATGGGGCGCTGTGAGGGTGATGGGGCACTGGGATAGGATGGATAGGGCTGGACCCTACCCCAGTGGAAAAAGGGGTTGGAGTGGGATGAGATCCCGATCCTCTCCATCCCAACCACTTCCATGTGACTCTGGAAGCAGCCAGGACAACAGGAAGCAGCACAGGGCAGAGCCAGCGCTATGGGGATGCTGGTGACAGGGAAGGGAATGGCCCCACAAAGCACGGCTCAAAGGACAAAAGGGAAGGAACAGGAGGGGACTGTTCCCTCTCCCTGCTGATGTGATGCTGGAGAAGGCAGCTGCCAGAGCCCCAAACAAAGGGATGCATTCTGCAGCCACAGCATCATTAGGATGCAGAGCCCGGCTCCTGCATCCCAAGCATGGACCATTAACAGCGAGCATCACCTGGATGCATCCCTTACATCCCTGCATGGATGCTTCCCCTCCTGCCCTTTGCCATGGGAGCAATGAGGTGGGTTGGAAGGGAATGGCAAAGGTTTGGATCCAAGCTGTTGGCAGGATCAGGAGCTTCCATTCAACACCTTGTAATTGTGGAGTCCTCAGTGCACACCTGAGTGATTCCCAGGTTAAATCCCATTGCATTCCTGGAAATGATCCCTTTCAGGATGCCAGACTGGGGTGGGGTGGGTTGGAACAGAGCCTAAAGATGCTCTATGGGCAGGGGTCCCTTTCACTGGAGGAGGGGGCTCCAAGCCCATGGAGCTTATCCCAGGATCCCAAAGCCAATGGGAGGATGCTGACAGGGATAGGACCCCTCTTTCACAGGGCCCTTTAAGGAGCCAAGCAATGCAGATGAGGCCTCAACAGGGCAGGAGCATGCAAGAGGCAGACAAGAGGCAGAACCAGGGCCTGCAGGAGTGGGTCCAGCTCCAGGCCCTATGGAATTGCCATAGGGAAGCAGCCAAACCCCATTCTGGAGCATCCACAAGGGATGCTGCAAGGCAGGGATGCAGGATGCCAGGAGGGATGCGGGTGATCCCTGCATGGACCACAGGCTCTGACAGGGATGTAAATCACTGCATCCCAACTGCCCCATCAGGGGTGATCCCTGCATGGACCACAGGCTCTGACAGGGATGTAAATCACTGCATCCCAACTGCCCCATCCAGGGGTGATCCCTGCATGGACCACAGGCTCTGACAGGGATGTAAATCACTGCATCCCAACTGCCCCATCCAGGGTGATGCAGGCATGGACCACAGGCTCTGACAGGGATGTAAATCACTGCATCCCAACTGCCCCATCAGGGGTGATCCCTGCATGGACCACAGGCTCTGACAGGGATGTAAATCACTGCATCCCAACTGCCCCATCCAGGGTGATGCAGGCATGGACCACAGGCTCTGACAGGGATGTAAATCACTGCATCCCAACTGCCCCATCAGGGGTGATGCAGGCATGGACCACAGGCTCTGACAGGGATGTAAATCACTGCATCCCAACTGCCCCATCAGGGGTGATCCCTGCATGGACCACAGGCTCTGACAGGGATGTAAATCACTGCATCCCAACTGCCCCATCCAGGGGTGATGCCTGGACCACAGGCTCTGACAGGGATGTAAATCACTGCATCCCAACTGCCCCATCCAGGGGTGATGCAGGCATGGACCACAGGCTCTGACAGGGATGTAAATCACTGCATCCCAACTGCCCCATCCAGGGGTGATGCAGGCATGGACCACAGGCTCTGACAGGGATGTAAATCACTGCATCCCAACTGCCCCATCCAGGGGTGATGCAGGCATGGACCACAGGCTCTGACAGGGATGTAAATCACTGCATCCCAACTGCCCCATCAGGGGTGATGCAGGCATGGACCACAGGCTCTGACAGGGATGTAAATCACTGCATCCCAACTGCCCTATCAGGGGTGATCCCTGCATGGACCACAGGCTCTGACAGGGATGTAAATCACTGCATCCCAACTGCCCCATCCAGGGTGATCCCTGCATGGACCACAGGCTCTGACAGGGATGTAAATCACTGCATCCCAACTGCCCCATCCAGGGGTGATGCAGGCATGGACCACAGGCTCTGACAGGGATGTAAATCACTGCATCCCAACTGCCCCATCCAGGGGTGATCCCTGCATGGACCACAGGCTCTGACAGGGATGTAAATCACTGCATCCCAACTGCCCCATCCAGGGTGATGCAGGCATGGACCACAGGCTCTGACAGGGATGTAAATCACTGCATCCCAACTGCCCCATCCAGGGGTGATGCAGGCATGGACCACAGGCTCTAACAGGGATGTAAATCACTGCATCCCAACTGCCCCATCAGGGGTGATCCCTGCATGGACCACAGGCTCTGAAAGGGATGTAAATCACTGCATCCCAACTGCCCCATCAGGGGTGATGCAGGCATGGACCACAGGCTCTGACAGGGATGTAAATCACTGCATCCCAACTGCCCCATCCAGGGGTGATGCAGGCATGGACCACAGGCTCTAACAGGGAAGAACATCCCAAAACCCCATCTCAATCCCTTCCAAGCTAAAACCAAAAGGTTTCCCTGCACAGTGATGCCTTGCTCCTGCATCCCAATGGCATTCCCTGTGTCCCCTCACTGATTCCCCTCTAATTTAGAAGGGAATTGACCCACAGAGCCAAACCTTTTGTTATATCCAGATGGGAAGCAGTGAAGTGAGAAGCAGGAACCCCCCCCCCTTGATGGATGCTGTGGGGAGCAGCAGTGCAATCAATCCCAATCCCACTGTTTCCAATGGGAACAGGCTGTTAATGACAGTGGGGCCTGGACCAGGACAAGGCAGATGCTGCCCCATAGCCCAAGGGGACAATGAGGATGAGGCCCCTAGGGCCAGGATTCCAGGAGCATGGAGCGTGGATCTCTGCTGCCTCCTGGAGACTCCTTTGGGAAGGGGCAGCATCATTCCCAGTGCTGACAGAAC